ACAGTTAGCTGCCATGTGGGTGCTGGGATTCGAACCCTGGTCTTCTGCAAGAAGTCAGTATTATTAACCACTGAGCCATCTCTCCAGCCCTCCTTTTATTTTTAAGCATTTTTTAAAACTTTTAAATTTTATGTATATAAGTGTTTTGCTTGCATGTATGTAAGTGCACTGTCATACAGTGCCTACGGAGGTCAGAAGAAGGCATTGGATCCCCTGGAATCGGAGTTGTGGAGGATTGTTAGCTGTCTTGTGGGTGCTGGAGATCGAACTCAAGTCCTCTGCAAGAGCAGCCATCTCTCCAGCCTAGATTTTTTTTTTTTCTTAATTATATTTATTGATTTTATTTAGTCTGGCAGTGGGGGTGGTACAACCATTCTGAGGCTCATGTGTGGAGTCAGAGGACAACTTGGCAGGAGTTGACTCCTTCCACCATGTGGATGCTAGGGCCTGAACTCTGATCTTCAGGCTCAGCAGCAGGTGTCTTTACAAACTGAACTATCTGGCCTGCCCCCCACCTTCTTTATTTTTGAGGCAGGGTCTTTCTATGTAGCCCAAGCTGGCCTCCATCTCAAAGTCTGTCTGCCTTGCCTCTGAAGTGCTAGGATTATAATTGTGCACAGTCACATCTAATAATTAAAGATCTCAGGACCAGAGTGAGTAGAGAATACCGCATGCCAAAGATACAGGATTTGTCAATAGAATTTTCAATTGAAAGCGAGACATGAGGATATTTTTAGGAATGTACAGAGACATAAAGATGAGAGCAATGTTTGTATATGTGCATGTGAACACATAAGAAAAGCCAGAAGAAGGTGTCAGGTCCTCTGAAACTGGAGTTACAGGTGATCGTGAGGTGCCTAATGTGGTTGCTGGGAACAAGTACCCTGAAAGAGTAGCAAGTGCTCTTAATGCTTAACTGTGTCTCCAGCCCCTGTAATTTTTTTCTTTTAGGACAGTGTCTTACTATGTATCCCTGGTTGGTCTTGGACTGTGTAAACCAGACTAGCCTCAGACTCAGGGATACATCTTCCTCTGCCTGCCAAGTGCTGAGATTAAAGGCGTGAGCCACCATACCCAGCTCCTGTAACATCTGTAAAGGAGGGATATATCACCAGAGTAAAGTTACTAATTTTCAAGAATGCTTAGAGGAGCAAGTTAAAGGGCCATTTGAAATAACATTACAGAAGACTTTTAAGTGCCAAGCCAATAAGTATGAGCTTTTTTGTTCTAAGGTAAGGAGGGAACTCTTTAAAATTCTTAGTAGGGCCACAGGGCAGGGCT